AATAAAGGAGTCCAAGTTACAACTACGGAGCTCAACGTCGTTTCATACAGGCCTGTAAGAAGAGGAGAACTATCCGTGGACGGGGAAGGGGGAGAAAACCGGGGGGGGGGATCCCCCAAGGCAAAAAAAAAAACAAAAACCCCAAATCCAAAACCCAGACATAATGTTTAAAATGACTAAAATGTAGATGTCCAGAGTTTAATATATTTAAAATATGTCTCTGAGAAAATTCATAATAGAATAACAGAGTTGGAATAACTGTGTAAGAAGTAGTTTGCCTGGCTTTAGAATAGAATAGAATAGAATAGAACAGAATAGAATAGAATAGAATAGAATAGAATAGAATAGAATAGAATAGAATAGAATAGAATAGAATAAGAATAAGAATAGAACAAGAATAGGAATAGGAATAAGAATAGAATAGAATAGAACAAGAATAGAATAAAAATAAGAATAGAATAGAATAAGAAGAGAATAAGAATAAAAACGAGAATAGAACAAGAATAGGAATAGGAATAAGAATAGAATAGAATAAGAATAGAATAAGAATAAGAATAGAACAAGAATAGGAATAAGAATAAGAATAGAATAAGAATAGAATAGAATGTAGGAATAAGAATAGAATAGAATAGAGTAAGAATAGAACAAGAATAGGAATAAGAATAGAATAGAATAATAATAATAAGAATAGAATAAGAATAAGAATAAGAATAGAATAGAATGTAGGAATAAGAATAGAATAGAATGTAGGAATAAGAATAGAATAGAGTAAGAATAGAATATTGGAATGAAGAATAGAATAGAAGAATAGAATAGGAGTAGAGCTGGAAGGGACCTCAGAGGTCTTCTAGTCCAACCCCCTGCCCAAGCAGGAGGCCCTCCACTATTCCAAACCAGGGGCTGTCCAGTCTCTTCCTGAAAGCCTCCAGGGATGGAGCCGCCACGTCTTCTGAAGCTCAAGGCCTTCCCGCTTGGTGTGATCCAAGGCCTAAAGCCCCAAATGCGGCTGCTTCGGAAACAGCCGCGTGGTTCTTTTCCAGGGCCAGTCCCGCCTCGACGCTAATCGTCATTCCCCGGCCTCAAAGGGACTGACATGAAAGTCTGTGCCCAGGGTAACTCGCTTTTTGCCAAACAGGCTGATCCGGTCGGGCATGTTTGCGCCGTTCCATTTTCCCTTCGTTGCCTCCCAGGTTCTCTTCTCCACCTCTTGCCACCCGTCGAGTGGGAAAAAAAAAGGCATTTTGGAAACGCAGGGAGGGATCGAAAGGTACGACGGTGGACGCCCTTAGGGTTTGAACCCTGCTCCTCGTTTGCACCAAGCGTACACAGAGGTGGTATTCAGCAGGTCCAGATCAATTCTTGGAGAACCGGTAGCGGAAATTTTGAGTAGTTCAGAAAACCGGCCAATCCCACCTCTGACTGGCCCCGCCCCGATTGTCTCTTCTTATGACAATACGACACAGTTGTGTCAACCTAGCTGACTGCTTAGTGCAAGTCAGTTTTAAGCTGTCGCCACACATTCATTATTATCCACAAATGTTTGTTTTTCCCTGATCTAGAACATCTAGAACTGTATTGGCTTGGAGCGTTGTTTTTTTTTTTTAGACTTGGCAACTTGAAGTTGTGGGGACATTCAACCCGCAGGATTCCCCAAACCACCATTCAATTTCCAACTTGCCAAGTTTGGAAACCACAGGTTTCGAGCATAACTGCAGAGTTTCTGGAATTCCCAGCCAGCCCTGGGCTTCGTCCAAGAACTCCGGGGCAAAACTGAGAAGTAATTGTACCTTTGCAGAACCTGAAGTTCACGAGGGTACATAAAACAATGGAAACGAATGAAACACGAACGAGGAAACGGAGCCAAACTTTCCCCAAAACATACAAAGCAAACGCGCGTATCCAGCGTACGCAGGGCATGGTTAAAAAGTCATCGCGATGTTGGTCACAACGGGATCACAATCCTTTCCTAGTGATCGTATTTTTGACCGCAGCGATGATTTTACAACCGTTCTTTCTTATATCTGATAGTGTTAGAAGCGGGCATTTGTCAGGCACATTGCATAACCCTACATCACAAGACAACGTGTGATTCCCCCCTACGTTCTCTTCCTCCTCCTATGGTTAACCACAATGCAGTTTGTCCCATCGTCGTTGTCATCTTTCGATGGGTACATTTTGCACCCTCTGCATATTTTATTTTCCGTGCTTCCGGCACGCCACGTTTTTAAAGGCAGGGTCCCTTCCAACTCTGTTAATCTGAATCTGGTTACCTGCTTCAGAGTCCTGAAAAACAGAGGTGGGATTCAGCCGGTTTTGACCGGTTGTGGAGAACCGGTAGTGGAAATTGATTGCAGGAAATACGACTTCAGCAACTGAGTGGTCAATGTCTGGAATACTCTACCTGACTCTGTGGTTTCTTTCCCAAACCCCAAAAACTTCAACCTTAGACTGTCTACTACTGACCTCACCCCTTTCCTAAGAGGTCTGTAAGGGGTGTGCATAAGCGCACCAACGTGCCTACCGTCCCTGTCCTATTGCTTCTTTTATTTTTCTTATTCGTATCCATTTCATGTATTTATAAACATGTTTATACTTACACCTGTTATCTAATAATCGCTTGACAAAATAAAGTAAATAAATAAATAAAATTTTGAGTAGTTCAGAGAACTGGCCAATCCCACCTCTGACTGGCCCCGCCAACCCCATCTAATCTCTGCCTCCCATTGAGTCCCAGCTGATCGGCTGGGTCTCCTTTGGTTGCCCTGCACAGGAGAACGGAGCTGGAAAGCAGGTTAGTAGGGTGGGGAGGGAATGGAGATTTTGCAGTATCCTTCCCCTGCCATGCCCACCAAGCCACGCCCACCAAACCAAGCCACGCCCACAGAACCAGTAGTAAAAATGTTGGAATCCCCCCTCTGCTAAAAAGCAGGGGTGGGATTCAAATTTCTTAGCAACTGGCTTTGTGGGTGTGACTTGGTGGTCCTGTGACTGGCTGGGCAGGGCTTGCTGACTGGGTGTGGTTTGGTGCTCACGTGACTGGCTGGGCGTGGCTTGTATGTAAATATTGTAAATAATTAATTTTTTCATTAAAAAAGAGCAACTTTTACCCAAAATCAGGCAAAGGAGGCAGGCAGATTGAGTTGCTCACAGAATCACAGATTCGCTCAGAGATCTATCTTTCTGCAATCTGCTCCCTGAGTCTGCACTGAAAAAATAGAAGCTTCAGTCCTAAGGAAGGTTCAGCTCTGCTTTTAGATTAGCCAGAAAGCAAGAAATCCAACGATTTCCTGCTTTCTAGCCAATCTAAATCTCCCGGCACAGCAGAACAGCTGATGGTCAGAGGGGAAAAAAAGGCAAAATAGCAACTTAGCAGGTAAGTTTGATGGCGCGCATGCCAGGTAAGGAGTGAGTGGGTGGGAAGGGGAGGGGAGGGGCCAGCCAGTGGCGCAATTTGCCGGTTCTCCGAACTGGACAGAATCCTAACAACTGGTTCTATAGAACCGGTCCGAACAGGCAGAATCCCACTTCTGCTCGTGAGCATTCATTCTAAATCCCTGGAATATTCCGCTTACCTGAAACGTGTCCACCACCCGGTGCAGAAACTCAATGACGAAAAGCGGCGGAACTTCTGTCTGGATGACGGCCACGAAAAAGATCTTGTGCCGATAGACGCTCAGGAGATAATGGTGAGGGGTGGAAATGACCGGGGGCACATTTTCAGCCTCCGACGCTCGCTCTTGCGCCTCGAAGAAGTAGTCGCAAACCGAACGGCTGATCACGCTCTTCCAGTGTTTCTCTAGGAAAATGTCTCCGGAGGAGTTGATGAGGAAGAGGCTGTGAATCATTGCTGGTCCAGAAGGAGGAGGTCCACCGCCGTGGACCCCCGTGCCGACCGAGAGATCAACTCGTGCTCTATGACTCGAGTCTAAAAAAATCCAACACACAAAGACACACACACACACACACACGAAGCATGTAGGATTCTTAAGTATGGTCTTTCCTTAAAGGTTCTCCACTACAATCGGAATTTCCCGAGCCGAGCATGCGATGAGAAATACAATTTCTAGCGGGCAACCCAATCACCGGCAAGGATGCGGGACAGGCAAATGAAGAGGGTGTGGGAAGACACTGTGGTTTACTAAGCAGGCTAAGCCAGTTTATTCATGGCTTATTAGCAGACTGTGCAAAGCCAGTTTATTTGTGGCTTATTAAGCAGGCTGCGCTAAGCCTATTTGTGGCTTATTAAGGAGGCTGTGCAAAGCCAGTCCATCGTTGCTTATTAAGCAGGCTGCGCTAGCCAGTTTATTTGTGGCTTATTAGCAGGCTGTGCAAAGCCAGTATTTGTGGCTTATTAAGCAGGCTGCACCAAGCCAGTTTATTCGTGGCTTATTAAGGAGGCTGTGCAAAGCCAGTCCATCATTGCTTATTAAGCAGGCTGTGCTAGCCAGTTTATTTGTGGCTTATTAAGCAGGCTGCGCCAAACCAGTTTATTTGTGGCTTATTAAGCAGGCTGCGCCAAGCCGGTTTATTTG